AAAAAAGAAAAGTCGCGAGAGAGACGGTCTCTGGATGGGTTAAAGGGAAGCCACCGGTTTCCAATTAGCGTGTCCATTGCGAACCGCATCGAAGATGGGATTCGAGTATACGTGACCGGGAATTATTAGCCTGCCGGGGAGCCGACTAGGTTGTGGGATTGAACAAGGCGACATCACCCGACGCCGTTCAACCTTAGAACGGGCGCGTCAGAACAGCTCAGGGATCCTGCGCCACCGCAAAGCAACGCGCACCACCATCGTCTGGGTTCCGGCTCTTTGGGGGGCAGGGTGGAGCGACGCCGTGTGTCGGCGACCGCGGGCCCCCTACCCCTCAAAGAGCCGGAACCCAGACGATGGTGGTGCGCGTTGCTTTGCGGTGGCGCAGGATCCCTGAGCTGCTCCGACGCGGCCGTGCTAGCGGCTGAGCGAGGCGAGGAGGAAGCGGTGCTGGCATGGCTCGACGGCGGCGGGCGGGCCGACGCGACGTGCGAGAGAGGCGGCGTGAGCGGCATCACGTTGCTGATGTTCGCCGCCCGCAGCGGCCACGAGCGGGTGGTCGACCTGCTGATTCGGCACGGCGCGGAGATCAACCTGCAGAACAGCGACGGCTTCACCGCGCTGATGAGCGCCGCCGGCCAAGGCCACGAGCGGGTGGTCGACTTGTTGCTGCGGCACGGCGCGGAGGTCAACGCGCAGGACAACAGCCTCGGCTTCACCGCGCTGATGTGCGCCGCCCAGGAAGGCCACGAGCGGGTGGTCGGCTTGCTGATACGGCGCGGCGCTGGTGTCAACCTGCAGAGCAGCGACGGCTTCACCGCGCTGATGGCCGCCGCCCTCTTCAACCACCCCGCCGTCGTGCGGCGCTTGCTGCGGGCTGGCGCAGACGCGGCGGCGCGCAGTGTGCGCGGCAGCACGGCGCTGCAGATTGCCAAGGATAAGGGCCACGCCGAGTGCGCCAAGCTCTTGTCGGAGGCGGAGGCGGCTGCAGACGGGCGGGCGGGGGCGGGCGGCGCCTCCTCGGGCGCGGCAGCGGCAGCTGTGGACGCGCCGCTGCTTGGGCAGCGAGTCGAGCTCGGCGGACTCTCTTCCCGCCCCGAGCTCAACGGGCAGCGGGGCGTGGCGGGGAGGTTCGAGGGCGGGCGGTACGCGGTTGCGCTCGAGGGAAGCGGCGAGAGCGTGCGGGTGCGGCCGGAGAGGTTGCGGCAAGTGGCGGCGGCGGAGCAGGCGTCGAGCGGTGTCGCGGCAATCTCCGAAGCGGTTGTGCAAGCGGCTGAGCGAGGCGAGGAGGAGGCGGTGCTGGTGTGGCTCGAGGGCGGCGGGCGGGCCGACGCGACGTACGAGATAGACGAGGTGAGCGGCATCACGCTGCTGATGGGCGCCGCCCAATATGACCACGAGCGGCTGGTCGAGCTGTTGCTGCAGCACGGCGCGGAGATCAACCTGCAGAGCAGCGCCGGCTACACCGCGCTGATGCTCGCCGCCTTCCACGGCCACGAGCGGGTGGTCGAGCTGCTGCTGCGGCGCGGCGCTGATGTCAACCTGCAGAGCAGCGACGGCGGCACCGCGCTGATGGGCGCCGCCGGCCAAGGCCACGAGCGTGTGGTCGACTTGCTGATTCGGCACGGGGCGAAGGTCAGCCTGCAGGACAGCGTCGGCGGCACCGCGCTGAAGTACGCCGCCGGACAAGGCCACGAGCGGGTGGTCGAGTTGCTGATACGGCGTGGGGCGGAGCTCAACCTGCAGGACAGCGGCGGCTGCACCGCGCTGATGCTCGCCGCCCTCTTCAACCGCCCCGCCGTCGTGCGGCGCTTGCTGCGGGCGGGCGCAGACACGGCGGCGCGTGCTGAGAAGCAAGACAGCGCTGCAGCTGCCAAGGAGAAGGGTCACGTCGAGTGCGTCGAGGCCTTCCGGCAGCACGTCAAGGAGTCGGTCGTGGCGGGACGGCCCACGGCGACGGCAGCCGGCGGCGAAGGCGCAGGCGGCGCTTCCCCTGGCGGCGCTTCCTCGGCTGGACCGAGAGTCGCGGAGACGCTATCTCCAGCGGTGGCGGCGGGGCGGGCGTCGAGCGGTGTCGCGGCAGCCCCCGATGCGGTCGTGGCAGCAGCGGAGCGAGGCGAGGAGGCGGCGGTGCTGGCGTGGCTTGACAGTGGCGGGCGGGTCGACGCAACGTACGAGAGAGGCCAGGCGAGTGGCGTCACGCTGCTGATTGGCGCCGCTGCCCACGGCCACGAGCGGGTGGTCGAGTTGCTGCTGCGGCGCGGGGCGGAGATCAACCTGCAGAACAGCGACGGCTGGAACGCGCTGATGGCCGCCGCCTTCAACGGCCACGAGCGGGTGGTCGAGCTGCTGCTGCGGCACGACGCGGAGATCAACCTGCAGAGCAACGAAGGCTTCACCGCGCTGATGGGTGCCGCCCAGGAAGGCCACGAGCGGGTGGTCGACTTGCTGATACGGCGCGGCGCTGAGGTCAACTTGCAGGACATCAAAGGCTACACCGCGCTGATGTTCGCCGCCCTCTTCAACCACCCCGCCGTCGTGCGGCGCTTGCTGCGGGCGGGCGCAGACACGGCGGCACGCAGTGCGAGCGGCAAGACGGCGCTGCATTGGGCCGAGGAGAAGGGCAACGCCGCGTGCGTCAAGGTCTTGTCGGAGGCGGCGGCGGCTGCAGACGGCCGGGCGGGGGCGGGCGGCGCCTCCTCGGGTGCGTCAGCGGCAGCTGTGGACGCGCCGCTGCTTGGGCAGCGAGTCGAGCTCGGCGGGCTCTCTTCCCGCCCCGAGCTGAACGGGCAGCGGAGCGTGGCTCAGAGCTTCGAGGGCGGGCGGTACGCGGTTGCGCTCGAGGGCGGCGGCGAGAGCGTGCGGGTGCGGCCGGGTAATCTGTCGCCGGCTGCGGCGGAGCGGGCTTCGAGCGGTGCCGCGGCAGTCTCCGATGAGATCCTCGCAGTGGCTGAGCGAGGCGACGAGGAGGCGCTGCTGCCGTGGCTCGAAGGCGGCGGGCGGGTCGACGCGACGTACGAGAGAGGCGGCTTGAGCGGCCTCACGCTGCTGATGGGCGCCGCCTTCAACGGCCACGAGCGGGTGGTCGAGCTGCTGATTCGGCACCGCGCTGATATCAACCTGCAGGACAGCGGCGGCGGCACCGCGCTGATGGTCGCCGCCACCAACGACCACGAGCGGGTGGTCGAGCTGTTGATTCGGCACGGCGCTGAGGTCAACTTGCGGGACAGCGTCGGCGGCACCGCGCTGATGTTCGCCGCCCTCTTCAACCACCCCGCCGTCGTGCGGCGCTTGCTGCGGGCGGGCGCAGACACGGCGGCACGCAGTGCGAGCGGCAAGACGGCGCTGCATTGGGCCGAGGAGAAGGGCAACGCCGCGTGCGTCAGGGTCTTGGCTGAGGCGGCGGCGGCTGCAGACGGCCGGGCAGGGGCGGGCGGCGCCTCCTCGGGCGCGGCAGCGGCAGCGGTGGACGCGCCGCTGCTTGGGCAGCGAGTCGAGCTCGGCGGGCTCTCTTCCCGCCCCGAGCTGAACGGGCAGCGGGGCGTGGCTCAGAGCTTCGAGGGCGGGCGGTACGCGGTTGCGCTCGAGGGCGGCGGCGAGAGCGTGCGGGTGCGGCCGGGTAATCTGTCGCCGGCTGCGGCGGAGCCGGTGTCAGGCAGTGTCGTGGAAGTCTCCGACGAGGTCATCGCAGCGGCTGAGCGAGGCAACGAGGAGGCGCTGCTGCCGTGGCTCGAAGGCGGCGGGCGGGCCGACGCGACGTACGAGAGAGGCGAGACTAGCGGCCTCACGCTGCTGATGGGCGCCGCCAACCACGGCCACGAGCGGCTGGTCGAGTTGCTGCTGCGGCGCGGGGCGAAGGTCAACCTGCAGGACAGCAAAGGCCTCACCGCGCTGATGTTCGCCGCCAACAACGGCCACGAGCGGGTGGTCGGCTTGCTGATTCGGCACGGCGCTGATATCAACCTGCAGGACAGCGGCGGCGGCACCGCGCTGATGCGGGCCGCCCACCACGGCCACGAGCGGGTGGTCGACTTGCTGATACGGCGCGGCGCTGATGTCGACCAGCAGAACAGCAGCGGCGTCACCGCGCTGATATACGGCGCCGGCAGCGGCCACCCCGCCGTCGTGCGGCGCTTGCTTCGGGCGGGCGCAGATGCTGCGGCGCACACTGTTGAAGGCAAGACGGCGCTGCAGTGGGCCGAGGAGAAAGGTCACGCCGAATGCGTGCGCACCTTCGAGGAGCACTCGACGACCGCAGCAGAGGCGGAGGGGGAGGCGGCGGTCGCAGAATCAGCCGAACAGGCGGCGGCCGCACGCGAGGTGGCAGCGGCTGCGGAGGCGGCGGAGGCGCGCAATGCTGCCGAGGCGGCGCTGCGCGAGGCGGTTGAGGCGTGCGGCCGAGGCGACGCCGATCTGGAGGCGCTCAGGGCGGCGATCAACGCGAACACCCAGGCCGCCGACGGCTCGGAGGCGCTGCGGGCGGCGCGGCGGTTGCGCGACGAGCTGGCGGAGCGAAAGGTCCGCGAGGCCAGGGCGCTGAAGCGGCAGCGGCAGAAGGAGGAGAAGGCGGCGGCGAGGCAGGCGGCGGCGGCTGAGCGGGCGGCGGAGCAGGCGGAGGAGGCGCGGGCGGCTGAGGAGGCGCGGGCGGCTGAGGAAGCGGATCGGGTGGTAGCAGAGGCTGCGGCGGCGCGGGCGGCGGAGGAGGCGGAGGCGGCGTCGCGCGCAAGGGAGGAGGCAGAGGCGCGGGCAAGGGAGGAGGCGGCAAGGGAGAGGGAGGAGGCGAGGATGAGGGCGGAGGCGGCGGAGGTGGCGGCGGCGGAGGCAGCGGCGGAGGCGGCGGCTGTAGAGGCGGCAGTGGCGGCCGTGGCGGCGGCGGAGGCTCAAGAGGCGGCGGCAGCGGAGGCGGTGGCGGCGGCAGCGGCAGAGGCAGCGGAGGCGGCGTCGAGTGTCGCCGCTCTCGCCGCCGCCGCCGCGCCGCCCTCCGCCGTCCCTCTCGACGAGCTCATCGCGGCGACCGACGGCTTTGCCGAGGCGCGCAAGGTGGGCGAGGGAGGCTTCGGGCGCGTCTATCGTTGCGACGCGCTGCCGTCGCTCCCGCGCGTCGCTTGCGGGTTCGCCGTCAAGACGGCGTTGGTCGGTGTCGGCGCCCAAGGCCTCGCCGAGCTGCAGAGCGAGGTGCGCACGCTCAGCGCGGCGTGCCACCGGTCCCTGCTCCCTCTCCTGGGCGTCTGCCTGGCACCGGCGAGAGCGTGCCTCGTCTACCCCCTCTGCCGCGGCGGCAGCCTCGAGGACCGCCTCTACCGCGCTCCAGCCGCACTGCAGCGGCTCCGCATGCTCGGCTTCGAGACGCCGCCTCCGCCGCTCTCCGCCACCGCACGGCTCCGCGTGCTGCGCGACGCCGCGAGAGCGCTGCACTACTTGCACACGCTCTCGCCCATGATCCTGCACCGCGACGTCTCGGCGGGCAACATCCTGCTCGACGGGCGCGGCAACGGCTACCTCGCCGACGTGGGCCTCGCGCGCGCGGCAGAGGCGACGGCCGGCGGCAACCAACAGGTGTCGCACCTCTCGACGCAGCGCCTCTTCGGCAAGCTAGGGTACATGGACCCGATCATTCCGCAGAGCGGGCAGGTTTCGCAGCTGACCGACGGCTACGCGCTCGGCATCACGCTGCTCGTCGCCCTGACCGGCCGCGGCGCCGTTGGCCTCCTCGACGAGTGCGACGATGCGCTGGAGGAGCCCGACACGGCGGAGAGCGTCGCGGCGGCCGACGTGGGCTGGTCGGCGGCGCAGGCCGAGGAGCTGACGCGGCTGGTGGTCGGGCTGGCTCTCGTGAAGAAGAAGAAGCGGATGCCGCTCGCGGAGGCGCTGCCGCGGCTGGAGGCGCTTGTCGAAGCGGCGGGGGCGGTGGAGGAGACGGCTGGGGCCGAGGAGCGCCTGTGTGACCTCTGCTACGACGCACCGCGTTCGGTCCGCTTCGCGTGCGGCCACGCGCTGTACTGCGAGGCTTGTGTGCCGCGCGTGCTGGAGCGCGACACCAACTGCCCGGCTTGCCGCCAGCCGGCGCTGCCCATCGCCGCAACTGGGCGGCTGGTGGCGGCGCAGACGACGTTTGTTCACCAGCCGCCGTCGCGCACCGTGCCCCAGGCTCAGCCCGTGGGCGGCACGGAGGCGGTCGGTAGGCGAGGGGGGCGAGGGGGGCGTGGACGTGGCGGGCGGGGCGGGCGGGGCGCAGGGCGCGGCGGCTCTGCTTAGTGCTCTTACACTTCATGACACAATCGCAGCGGCAACCCGCACGCTCAGCGCAGCGCAGGCGAGCTTTAGAAGCCCTGTAGAAGCCATCGCGACAGCGAGAGCATCACGGGTGCCGAGACTGTGATGCCACCAGGAGCGGGGGAGGATGTCGTGCTCTCCTGGGCTAAAAGTTCCAACTTCCATTTCACTCCGACACATGATTCTTGAAAAGCTCCAGAGCTCCACCCTCGCGTCGACACTGGCAGAGCGCACCCCTGTTCTGTGTAGCGCTAGTGAACGCCCAGGGAACCGATATGCCTTACACTATTTTTGTACAATACTCAGGTCCCGCTAGCAAGTCATGAACAGGGTAAGGGAGGGAGGGAGAGCAAACAACTGGGAAGTTCACAGCTGAGCTTACCCAGAGAACTCCGTTCTCACCCACAAGCGAGCGCTAGTGAACGCCCAGGGAACCGATATGCCATCCCCAACCGCCCGAGCGCCGGAGGTGGGCGCTCGGAGGCCGGAGGCATGAGAAAGCCGACATGCGCGGGGCGCACGAGCGGCGGAGCGAGAGCGGGCTCGCGTATGGTGTGTGTGTGTGTGTGTGTGTGTGTGTGTGTGTGTGTGTGTGTGTGTGTGTGTGTGTGTGTGTGTGTGTGTGTGTGTGTGTGTGTGTGTGTGTGTGTGTGTGTGTGTGTGTGTGTGTGTGTGTGTGTGTGTGTGTGTGTGTGTGTGTGTGTGTGTGTGTGTGTGTGTGTGTGTGTGTGTGTGTGTGTGTGTGTGTGTGTGTGTGTGTGTGTGTGTGTGTGTGTGTGTGTGTGTGTGGCACGCGCGCGGATCTCCATGCGTCCGTGCGCGTGTGCGACGAGGGAGCTAGCTCGTCGGCTCGCCAGGCTCCGCTGTGTCAGCAGCGCCGCGGCGGCGCTCCCACGACGGTGGAAGCGCCTGGTAGAATCCGACTCACAATCGGCGAATCCCATCACCCGAACGTCGGTCGCACTTCTATCACGGTGAATTCGAGGCCACCATCCGACTTGACGATCTCCTTGTCGCTCGTTGGCGCGAGATGCGTCAGTGGCGGATAGAGCACCTCAACTTCGCCCGGAAAGGCAGACAAGAAGGAGAGGTCAGCACCGCGCTCCCGGAAGCTGCCTGTCTCGAGCTTGAGAAGCACCGAACACGCGCTTGCCGAGTAGCGGATGGCTATCTCGAGCTCGCGCGTCGTGGACATCGGAGCCTTCTCCGCGCCGCCCTGAGAGAGAAACTCGTCAGAAACGCCCACATTGCGCAAGCCGCGCCACAACGTGACCTGATTGGCTCCGGCCAGCCCTCCGCCTTCACCGCTGCCCCCCTCGCCGCCTCCGCCCAGCCCCTTGGCCTCGACGGCGCGGAGCTGTCCTATGGCCTCGGTCAGCAGATGGACCGTGATGGGTAGGGGGTGCGGGTGCTCGGCGCTGAGCGGCCGCGGCTGGAAGTTGACGTCGAAACCGCGCAGATGGTTGTTAATGCTCTTGTAGCACGCGGTCGTGTAGAGCCGCAGCGCAAGCACCATGCCGACGGTGAGCTGCGCCGCACGGGCGTCACGATGCTCCACAAACCACTCGAGCGACAGGCCCTTCTCGCGACCCTCGTCGAGGACGCCATTCGGCCACTGTTTCGCGTTGTCGCCAGTCTTGCCGTAGCGCACATAGTGAAAGCACTCTTTATCCTCTTCAGTTCCATGCGCCATAAACTCGGCCTCCATCGCCGCGAGGCCCGAGTCCTCAGCGTGCTGTGCTAGGCCCACATCGCGGGGATCAACGCACATAAAGTCGGCAATCGGCAGCACCGTGGCGACTGCTGAGCCAAAGACGAGCTCGCGCCAGTCTGCCTCGAAGCGTCCGCCGACGCGTTCCTCTTCCGGTAGCGCATCAACGACACGACCAATCTCACGACTAATCTCGTTACTCAGCCTGGAGCGTTCCAGCCGCTGGTCATATTTTGAATTGCGCTGAGTGTCGACTCGCACGCGGCGGCGCTGCCGGGCTTTGCAGAGGAAAAACACCGCTGCGCCGATGACCACCAGCACCGCCACACTGACCGCGATTCCCACGATCAAGGGACTGACCGATGTAGGGTCGTTCGCCTCCCAGTAGGGAGGGAAGGTCGGAGGTGACGGCGGGGACGGTGGCGTGAACGGAGGCAGTAGCGGCGAGGGGGGTGGAGCAGGTGGCGGCGAGGGCGAGGCGGAGGGAGGCGGCGGCAAGGGCGAGGCGGAGGGAGGCGGCGGCGAAGGCGACGCGGAAGGTGGCGGCGGCGAGGGCGAGGCGGACGGCGGCGGAGGGGACGGCGGCGTAGAGGGCGGGGGCGGCGAGGGCGATGCGGAGGGAGGCGGTGGCGGCGCCGGAGGAGACGGCGGGGATGATGGAGGCGAGGGCCAGCACAGCAGCCAACCACTGGAGGTCAGACCGCCCGAGTCTGCCTTCCATCTGATTATTCCGTCGTAAGCCACGACACCGTTGGGACCCGTGGTGCCGCAGTACATTTTGCTGTTGACAATGACGTGATCGGAGGTGCAGTCAGGTTCTCCGTTGTAGAGGTAGGGCATCTCCACGTCGAAGGCACGCGCTTCTATCGGGACAGCAGGTACGTTCGAAATCGTGCACTCCTGATCGACTCCGTCCCACGTGTTGTATGGCTCGGGGTAAAATGGGCTCGAAGCACAGACTCCGCCATTGGTGAGCGAGCATGGCCCATCGACGTTTGTCGATCCCGGCAGATGCGGGGGTGGCGGAGGCGGCGACGTGGGGACGGGCGGCGAAGGCGGTGACCTTTCTACGGAGCATCCCGTATCGGAAGTGGCGCGGATAAACTCAGTCGGCGAGGAGCTGCAGTCGATCGAATTTTCCTGATTGATACAGTACATGTACGTCCCGGAACTGGTGCATGGCCCGGTCGAAGGAACGAAAGAAGGCAACCACGGACCGGTTGGGAAGCAGTTCTCACACGACGCAGATGAGCGACTAAACAACGAGAGCAGAGTTGCCAGCGAGAGCAGGATGACCCGCATTGTAGTCTGTGAAGAGAGGACGAGAGGCGCTCACGAAAGCAGGCAGACAGGATATCGCGAAAACAGGTTGGTCGATCGGTGTTCTCCGGTTGGGTTGCAAAATTGTGAGGGTCGGGAGGGAAAACTTTTCTTTCTTTACTTACTCAGGTACACACCACGGGAGCCACACACAAATACTTCACGGTAGCGTCAGAAGACGAGCCTCACCGGCTCCATCCATCGTTCGTAGTAGTCGGCCGCGTGGTAGAGCGTCAGCGCCATGTCCACGTCGAGCGCCACCTGCAGCCCAGAAGACGCGCCGTAGAGCATGGCCGCCAGCGGCCGCGACGCCGAGGCCAGCACCGCGCCGATGCACGCAAACATACTCCTGGCTTGACTTTGACCCCTCGACCTCAACACACACATCGCTGAACGAGGGCATGTTCTGGTGCAGCTCGAGGAGCGAGCCGCGGATGTCGAGATGTCGAGCGGGTCGCGCTGCAGCTCCCGCGTCGGCTCGTCCTCCGCGTCGGAGAGCACGCGCCGCCGCTTGGGCGGACGCTCGTCGTCGGCGCGAGACATGGCGGTCGGCTCTTTTCCCTTACAGCAAGCAGGGCTGCGAGATAAAGAAATTTCGCACCCGCCAGGAAGGGAAAAATCGCTGTCGACAGACGATGTGGGTCGTCGGCCTCACCGGCTCAATGGGCAATGGAAGCTATGGCCATTTGGGCCACGGCGGCGAGCAGCACCAGCTGCTGCCGAAGAAGGTCGAGGCCTTCGCTGGCCAGCGCGTCGTCGCTGTGTCGGCAGGAAGCGGCCACAGCCTCGCCCTCACACCGCCGACGGCGCCGTCTGGAGCTGGGGCGATGGAGAGGCTGGCCAGCTGGGCCACGGCGACCAGCAGAGCCAGCTGCTGCCGAAGAAGGTCGAGGCTTTTGCAGGGCGGCGCGTCGTCACTGTGTCGGCGGGATGCGACCACAGCCTTGCCATCACCGCCGATGGCAGTGTCTGGAGTTGGGGTGGTGGAGGCTCTGGCCAGTTGGGCCACGGCGACAGGCAGCGCCAGCTGCTGCCGAAGAACGTCAAGGCCTTGGCTGGCCAGCGCGTCGTCGCTGTGTCGGCGGGAAATAAGCACAGTATCGCCATCACCGCCGACGGCGCTGTCTATACCAGCCATCACTTTAGTTGGTATAGTACCCAATGATTTCTTTTTTAGTTTCCCATAAGTAGGGTAGGTAGGTAGGTAGGTAGGTAGGGGCACCGCAGGGGCCGGTCAGGTTTTGGCAGAATTTCAGGATGAGGGCCCCCAAAGCAAGGAAGAAAAATAAACTACACCTGGGGCTGCCACGACTACTTTGACCGCGAGGTATGCGCCCGGCCATCACTACTTCGTTGTTTTGTTTTGACATGGATGAGTAAGAAGCCCATATGTCTTGGACTTTGACAAGCGCGAAGAAACGTGCCTTTTTCTTTTTTTTTCCTTCTTGCGACATTTCTCCGAAAAGTACCTGACGGATGCGAGAAGCAGATCGAAAATGCTGGTTCAGACCCCGCTCACCCCTCCGGGCCTCGGCGCCGATGTGGTGATGCCGAGCATAAATGAGGACACACCGACACCGACCACAACCTCCTTCGAAGCCCGCGCGCTGGAACTCCTCCGCCTTGGTGACAACGCCCGCGCGCTGGAACTCCTCGAGGGAGCTGACAAGTTGAATATCCGCCTCGTCAACATGCTCTTCACGGCGCTGATTGGGACCGGGGTCGGGGTAGACGCGGCCGCGGTCCGCGCCCAGCAGGCGTGTGCGGCTCACGGCATCGCTCCCAACGCGTCAATCTTCAACAACATTCTCGCAGCGCTCGACAAGGCGCCTCGACCCTCTGTGCCACCGACAACCCCCTTCACCCCCCTTACCCAAGTTCCCTTTGTGCAGGCGGGGCCCCCAGAGGCGGTGCTCGCGTGGCTCGCAAAGATGCGTGCGGCGGTGCCCGTCACCACCACGGCGGCAAACATCGCCCTCAAGGAAAGCGCCCCTGCCCGCCCTCCCGCCCCCCCCCTCCTCCCTCCTCCCTCCTCCCTCCTCCCTCCTCCCTCCTCCCTCAACACACCTCTGCGACGCCTGCAGGCCCACCTGCAGCGGCGCGACTTTGGCGCCGCCGCCGAGCTGCTGCGCAGCATGATGAAGCGGGCCGCCGGTGCCGACTACCCGCCCCCGCCCAACGAGATGTCCTTCAACACGGTCATCTCTGCCCTCGGCGACGCGGCGCAGCCCGAGCGCGCAGAGTCGGTCCTCTCGACGATGATCGACGCCGGCTTCACAGCGTCGCCCGTCACCTTCACCGCGACCATCGCCGCTTTTGCAAAGCAGTCCCGCCCCGCGGACGCCGCCCGCGTCCTCAAGCGCATGCTCGCTGCGCGGCTGCAGCCCGACACGTGGTGCTTCAATGCCGTCCTGTCGGCATACGCCAACGCCGCCGACCCGGAGGGGGCGCGGGCCACGCTGGCCAACTTCGAGGCGCGCGCGGCGGAGGAGTGCCCGAACGCGGCGCCCGACTTGGTCTCGTACAACACGCTCATGCTCGCCTGCGCGCGGGGCGGCAGGCCCGCCGAGGCGGAGGCTGCCTTCCAAAAGCTGCTCGCGCGCGGGCTGGTGCCAAACGAGGTATCGTACTCGACCGCCATCTCAGCACATGCACGCGCCGGCAACGCCGCCGCCGCGCAAGGCTGGCTCGACAAGATGACCGCCGCCGGCATCGCCCCCGACGCGGTCGCCTTCAACGCCGCCTGCTCCGCCCACGCGCGTCTCGGCGACGCCGCCGCCGCGCTGCGCTGTGTCGACGCGATGCGCGCGGCGGGCGTCGAGCCGACAGCGTCGACGCACGCGATCCTGGTCAACGCGCTGGTGAAGGCGGGGCAGCTCGACGCGGCCAGCGCGTCGCTGCAGGCGCTGCTCGTCGCCGGGGAGCGCCTCTCCGCGCCGACGTTCAACACGCTCATCTCCGCGTACGGCAAGGCTGGCCGCAGGCCCGACGCCGAGGCGGCCTTCAGCGCGATGCTCGCGGCGAACGTGCGCCCGTCGCTCGTCACCTACAACGCCCTCGCCTCGGTCTACGCGCTCGAGGGCGACATCGACGCCGCCGAGGCCGCAGTGCACGCGGCGTCGCAGCGTGGCTTTGCGCCCGACCGCTTCACCTATGCGGCGCTCTTCAACGCGTGCGAGGCGCTTCCGGCGCGCGACCGGCGCCGGCGCGCCGTGCCGCACGTCACGGCTCTGCTCTCTTCGCGCGTCGAATTGACGGAGCGGCTGCGCCGCTCTTCCGCACGGCTGCTCGGAGACGACTCGTTCGCCGCCCTCCTCAAGTCTCACCGAGGCTCCGGCGGCGGGGGCGCGGCGACTCGCGCGGCGCGCCCGCGCGCCAGCCCGTCCCTGCGCGTGGAGGCGCCGGAGTTCGTCCCTACGGGCGCCGAGGGCGCCGAGGGCGGAGGCTGCAGTGCTGGGGCCGCGGCAGAGGCGGGCGAGGATGACGGGTGGACCGAGGTGCAAACTTCGCGCCGCGGCGGCCGGCGAGGCAAGGCGAAGCCGCCGGCGGCGGCGGCGGCCTCGGCGACGATCCGAAAGGAGAAGCCGCCGACCCCGCGGACGAGCACGGCGCCGCAGCCGAGCGCGCCGTCGCCGGTGCGCCTCGCCGGGGTGCCGCTCACTCGCTCAAAGTCAAACCGCGCGCGGCTGCTCGAGCTGGCGCAAAGCGTCGCCGCCGCCGAGGCCGGCGACGCGGAAGGCGGCTCGCCCGCCTCTGGGGACGGGCAGCGCGGATCGATGCGCTCGCGGTCCGTCTCATCCAACTTAGCGGACGCGCTCACCGTGCCGCCGGCGGTGCCGCTCACGAGGTCGGCCGCCTCGGAGCTCGCGATCACGTTGGGCGACGACATGCGGCTCGAGTAGCGCGGAGAGTGGTAGTCGCGGTCAGCATGCGGCCCATGCCCGACCCTTTCTGTGTGGTTCTATGGACTCTTTGGCGCCATTCCTTTTTTCCTTAAAAGTGAATGCAGTACAGTTGTGTGTGCGCGCTCCGGGCTCTCCGCCCTCCGTGTCCGCGCAGGCGCGGGCGGACGGCGGAAGTCGGTTTTCAGTGTGCGCATGTGGCATGAGTTCCAGAGTGCAGAGAGCAGAGTCGCATCTGTACAGATGTACGCGCGCGGGCCACGCTGAGTGACTTGGCCTTGCCTCGCTCCATCCGCACTGCGGGGCGCGTGAGCCTGCCGCCCTACACACGCGTCGCACGCAACTCCACAGCGCCGCCGGCGCAGCCAGCCGCTCTCGACCCGTGTGTTCAGCCGCTTCAGGCTCCGACGAGCAAACGCACCTGCCGACGGTGGGGTGCGCGCTCTCAGGGACGTCCGGCGTGGTGAGGGGAGGAGGCGGCGAGGGAGTGGGATGCAAGGTGGCGTGCGCGCCTGCTGAGCCTCGTCGGCCAGCTTGGGGTGGCTCTCGGCAATCGCCTCTCCCGCCGCGTTGGCGTCCGCCGCCGTGGCCCAGCCCGAGGAGAGCAGCGGCGCCAGCGTGACGAGGGCCTGCGCGCAAAACTTGGCCGTCGCCCGCTTGTCCACGCCCGCGGTGAGCGAGCGGAGCAGGTCTGCGCCGAGGGAGGGCCGGGCGGCGACGAGCGCGGCCCCGTGGCGCTGTGCAACCTCCTTGAGGCACGCGGCAGCGAACTGCGCGTGCTGGCCTGCCTCGGTCGACTGCTCCGCAAGCGGCTGCACCCACACGCCCGAAGCGACCACCTCTCCGAAGTCCGGCACGCGGGCGGAGCCGGCCGCCGCGGCAGCGGCGCCGTGCAGCTGCAGCAGGAGCATCACGCACCGCCACGCGTTCTTGCGGAGCACCGCGTCGGGGTGCACCGCACTCGCGAGCAGGGCGGCCGCGGCTCCCGGCGCCGCAAGAGCGTCGGTGGCGAGGCGGAGCTGCCGTGGCGGCGGCGTCGCGAGGCCCGAGTCGGACGGGAGGAGGAGCCCGTCGCCGAGGCAGCGCAGGCACGCGCTGCGCTGCGGGACCGTCGAGGTCGAACGAGAGGAGCCCGCCACGAGCGCCTGCACGAAGCTCACGGGCGCAGCCGCGTTGGACCAGGCAGCCGACAGCTCGTCCGACGTCGCGGTGGAGCCGTCGCTGGCCAGCAGCTTGGCCTCGAGGGCTGTCCATGCAGTGGCGGCGGCCTCCTCCGCCGGATCGACCACCTCAGCCTGTTCGACCGCCGCCGCGTCGGGCGGCGCCACCTCCGCCACCTCCGCCACCTCCGCCACCTCCGCCACCTCCGCCGCCGGCTGCTCCGCCGCTTGCTCGGCCGGCTGCTCCGCCGCTTGCTCGGCCGGCTGCTCCTCACACGGGGGCGACGCCTCTACCTCCATCGCCTCCGCGGCCGGCGTCGGAGGCTCGTCTGGCGCCGCCTCTGGCGCCGCCGCCTCTCCCTCGGGCTGCGGCGCGTGCGGCTGCTTGCCCTGCGCCGACGCAGGCGCCCCGGCGTTCAGCAGCGCGGCAATGACCGGGTCCGAGTTGGCGAGCCCGATTGGCCGGGCCTTGCCCGCGGCGAGCTCGTCCGCCGCAGCGGCCGGCGCCGGTGCTACGACGGTCCGGCTCTCCGTCTTGGGCCCGCCCAGCGCGGTGGCGGGGCTGGCGCCCCCAGAGGAGGGCCGGAAGAAGGCGTCGAGTCCGCCCTTCCGCTTCTTGGTCGCCCGGCCGTGTTGGGCAGCCTTGTCCGAGCCGGCGGCTGCGCGGGCCGCCTCGGAGCCGGCCGATCCCGCGCTGCCGCACGCGCCGTCGCCAGCGGAGGGTGGCGCCCTCTCTGCCGTCAGCGGGGCCGGCGTCTCAGCGGGCGGCGGCGAGGATGCTGCCGCCGCCGCCGGCGGCGGCGGCGGCGCTGGCGCGGCGCTAGCGGCGGCGGGAGGAGGCGAGGCGCTCGAGGGGCTGGTCGCCGATGGGTCGGACGCCACGGACGCTGTGCCGCCAGCGGGCTTGAGCATCATGTTCTGGAGCACGGTGGGCGCCACCACGCCCACCGCAACGGGCGCGGCGGAGGGCGCGGCGACAGTCGGCTTGGCCACGGGCTTGGGCGGCGGCTTCGCCCCGGACCGCGAGCGCGCCGGCGGCGGCGGGTCGAGCCCAAAGCCCTCGGCGAGCTCGTCGTGCACCAGCCAGAGGGCGACGGTGTCGTACGGCGCGCCGGCGACCGTCGTGCGCTTCCGCTTCGCGGCGATCTCCTTGAGCTTGAGGCCGATGTCCTTCTTGAAGTGCTGCGGGTGCGACGCAGCGAAGCGCTCCACCAGCGCTGGAGCGCCCTCGGACGAGCCGTGCACGAGCTCCGCGAGCGCGAGGGTGGACGGGTTGCCGAGCGGCACCTTGCTGGAGGTCGCCTTGCCTGCCGTCGGCGTCGACCGTCCCTCTGTGGGCGCGGAGGCCGCCGCTGCGGCGGGCTCGAAGACGAGCGGCGTCGGAGCGAGCACCTCGACAGCGTAGCTTGCGAGCAGCGGCGAGGCTGGCGCCGTCGAGGGGCAGAGGTTCACGACCAGGCGCGGCACCATCTTGGCCGGCCTCCGCGCCTGTCCGCCCCCCGCCGCCCCGCCGCGCGCCTCTGCCGCCGCGCCGCAGCCCTCTTCGGCCGAGAGGTAGTCGTCGTCGACGACAAAGCCGTCGCAGTCGTCCTGTCGGAGGGGTGGCGGGCAAGGGGCGGCGGTGGGCGAGGGCGGGGGTCGGCGGCCGCTCGCGGGCTGGCAGTGGCGACGCTCTGAGCGGCGGCACCTCCTCTCCGTCGCGCCCGCCCGGCGCGTCGGCGTCCTCCGCCTCGTCATCCGATCCGAGCTCCTCGCCCTCGCCCTCCTCCTCCCACTCGTACTCGGACTCGACCTCGTAGTCGAGCGCCTACAGGGAAGGTTCCGAGAAGGTTCCGAGCAAGTTCCGAGAAGCCCCGCCCTCGCAATAGTCGAGCGCCTCGTCGCGCCCAAACGGCTTGCGCCCGCCAACCGCGCGGGAGGCCTTGGTCCACGTGCCGTGGTACGGCGGCCGCTTCGACTCCTCGTTCGGCTTGAGGAACTTGTACCTGCTCGCACGCACCGCGGGCCGGTGAGCACACGCCCCGCCACCGCTCCGACCGCCCGTCACAGCAGGCATCCACCGGGCCAACTGCCACGGCTGCAGCGCGGAAGCAGCGGCCGCCTCCTCGCCCCGCACCCGCTTGCGCCCCTTGAGCGCCGGCCTCCGCTTGCGCCACTTTGCCGGTCGCCACGCGCCGTCCTCCGCGCCGCCGGTGAGCACCTCGTCCAGCTCCTCGACGCTCCTCCTCGCCGGCAGCCGCAGCGGCGCCTACCCGCGCCTCGCCCGCGACGTGAGACCGCCGCAAGCCGACCGCTGCAAGCCAAAGAGAGGGGGGGGGGGGGGGGGTCGGCGCCAGCAAGGTGAAGTCGTCCGGCTTTTGGTACGCGCGGACGGGGCGGCCGCCGCGGACGTAGATGCCCCCGAAGGCCGCCTTGCCGCCCGCGGACGGGCTCGCGCCGCCCCGCGGAGAGCCATTCGCAGCCTCCTCGAGCCGGGGATCCTTGGCTGCCGGCTCCGGCCCTGCCGCCGACGCGGCCGCCGAGGGGGTGGGTGAGGGGGTGGGCTTGGCGGGCGACTTGGCCGCCGCCGCCGGCTTGCCCCAGAAGGCCGTGAGGGACGAGCGCTTCGCCTGGGTGCCAGGAGGGCGCGCGGTCGCCAGACGCCCTCGCGCGCCGCGGTGGGGTGGGGAGGCGAGGAGCGGGGCGCGGTCCAGGGGCAGAGGAAGGGAAGGGCGGCCCGCGCCTTCTTCTCCAGCTCATCCTTTCGCCGCAGCTGCTCCTCCGCCTCCTCGCGCGCCTGCACCGCACGGAGGGGCGGGATCGGCGCTGCAGCGGCGGCGGCACCAGCAGCGGCCGGGGCCGGGGAGAGAGACGGTGAGGAGGCGGGGGCGGGGCGCGCCTTGCGCTCGCGCTCCTCCGCGAGGGCCTTGCGCTCCGCCTCCTTGCGCTCCGCCTCCGCCTTCTTGGCTGCCGCCGCCTCCGCCTTGGCCGCCTCTCTCAGCGCTTTCTCGGCCGCCTTGCGCTCGCGCTCGGCCGCCTGCTCCTTCGCCTTGGCCTCCTTGGCCTCGGCGAGCTTCTTCTTCTGCAGCTCGCGAATCGCACGCTCCTCTTCTTTGGCCTCCGCCTTACGCCTCCGCTCTGCCTCCTTCTCGGCCTTGCTCAGCTTGACGGGAGGAGGTGCTGGCGCCGGCGCAGACACGGTCGCCGTTACGGTCACCGGAGGCGGCACGGTGGGCGCCGCCGGCTCAGCTGCGGCTCTTGCCGCCGAGATTGGCGATGGAGGCTGACTGCCACCCGCGGAGGATGCAGGCGATGGGGGCGGCTGAGCGGCTTCGGTCATCGGGTTGTTGCCAGTTGGTTTCGCGCCAACACCCTGGTTTTCTTTTTTACTACGTATGGCAGGCTTCGCATCACAGACCATTACATCGTCATCATCTGTCTAGCAAACGAAAGAAAGGACGCGAATGAATAAAAATAAAAAGCAAGCGATCGGGGCCGGGCACCGCCTCGGGAGGATACACAAAATCTGCGGCGAGCGGCGCGTGGGCCCCGACCTATACAGCTCACGGCTCACAACGTAAACGATGGTACCGCCCTGTAGCGCTGGCGCAGCAGCCCCGCGGCACGTACTGGCGTACACAGTACACGCACATGCGCACGCACACTTGACCTCAGCCCTGCGACTGAGACTCTGCAGCGTTCGGTCGGATGCCGGAGGCGCGCGCGTCGGCGGGCGTGAACCCCTCCCCCTTGACGAAGACGACCACGTTTTGGTGGGTCGGCACCAGCTTCGCGCCCGACCCCATGGTCCTGGTGGCTCGCAGCGCGGCCGTGCCGGTGGACGTGGTGAGGACGGCGTCGTTGTACAGGCTGCAGCCCGCCTCCTTGAAGGCGCTGATGGTGTCGCTGTGGAACAGCTCGAGGGCACCTCCCTTCCCACGAAAGTTGCCCACGACAAACGTCGAGAGGGCCTTTGGGCGGAGCAGCGACACGGCGTTGGCGACGATGCGCTTGTACTTGACGAGGAAGGTCGCGTAGGAGGGCAGGCCGCTCAGGTCCTTTGGCCCGGCCTTGTACTCCTCCAGGTTGAAGTAGGGCGGGCACGAGACGATCGCGTCGGCCAGCGGCTCGAGGCCAAGCCGGTGCAGCTCCTTGGGCACGAGCGTGGCGATCTGCTCGCTGTCGCCCACGACCCAGATCGGCGGGTGGCGGAAGTCCCACTGCCCCTGCGGCACCTGCTTCCGGTTCGCCTCCACCTGCCGCGCGGAGACGTCGACGCCGATGTACTGCACGCCTTTTGCCGCCGCGACGAAGCCGCGCACGACCCCGCCCGCGAAGGGGTCGATCACAACCACGGGGCGGTGCCTCACCTTGCGCGGGCGCGGCACCCACCAGGAGACGACGTTCTCCATGAGGACGGGGTCGAAGACCGAGGTGCCGTTGAGCTTGGAGGAGGCGGGGAGCAGGTGCCGCAGCCCCGCGCCGAGCAGGTCCTCGTCGCGGCCGAGGCTCGAGTCGAACAAGTCGTGCCACTCCTTCTTGCGGCGCTGCCACACGCCCTGCTTCGCGTCGAGCACGCTGAACGGATTCGCACCTGCCCACGGCGAGAGGCGTGAAGAGACGCTGTCCACAGCCAACCAGGGATCTGTGCTCGGTCGCGCCGAAGCGCTGGCCGAGCTTCGTCGGAGCCGCGGCCCGGGCTGGCATCGCCGAGCGCGTGGCGCCGCGGTACGGCGACGCGGATTGCGGCTGCCGCCGCGGCTGTGGCTGCGGCGGCTCTGGGGCGGCGGCGGGAGCGGGAGGCGCGGCCGGAGCGGCGAGCAGTCGCTCCACCAAGTCGCACTTCTCGATGCAGCCGGACAAGTCGACGGCACGGCGCGAGCCCTCGTCCTTGAGCTGGCGCACGCTCAGCGCCTCGAGCCGGGCTCGCTCTGCTGAGCCGCAGGCGCCGCCCTCCTCCTCGTCCGAAAGCTCGTCGGCGTCGCTGTCCACGCGGCCCAGAAGCCGGACCAGGTCGGCCACGCTGCTCTTGAAGCGCGGGCAGAATGCCGTCTCGCCCATCCCCATCGCCTCGGCGCCTCCGAACCAGCCGCCTCCCAGTCCCTCGGCGCCTCCAAAGCCAACCCCCGCAGCCGACGGGGCAGCTGCTGACGGCGCGGGCGCTGCTGACGGCGCGGGCGCTGCTGACGGTCCCGCTTCAACCCACGGAGCCCCGCCACCCGGTGTTGCGGCCGACGGGGCAGCTGCTGCGGGAGTTGCAGGATCCGCGGCGTCGCCGCCGCTGTTGCTGCGGCCGCTGTAGTGCCGCTTCGGCGCCGGCGCGCCCTCGACCTCACAGGGTGGCGGAGACGGCGAGAGGTCTTGGACGTGCCAGACGGTTGATCGCTCACGGTCGAGCGCGATTTTGTCGCCGGTCTTGAGTGGTGGGCAACGGTCACCTTGGCTGAAGGCATTCCACGCGCCGCCATAAAAGAGCCACGTCGTATCGTGAGGCGTCGCCGAAAGACGGCGTCGCTCAATCTCGAGCGTGCAATGAACTTCTCGCACGCGTGATGCTGCGTCAGCGCCGACGTGCCTGCAACCAAGGTCTATGAGCTCATCGTCCAGCGTGATGGTGTCCGCGCCGGCGCCAGGACCCTCGCGCTGGAGGACTGCAAGCGCCATGTCCGGCGGCGGGCTGGCGGCGGCTGGCGGTGGCGGGCTGGCGGTGGCGGTTTGGTGGGTGGGCAGGGCGGTGCTGGTTCGGTTCGGGATCCGGTTCGGCAGTGGGCCACCCGCGGAAGGCGGAGGCAACTCGCAGAATTTTTTGTTCCGATGTCCTCAATCTTTTGCCTGCGGCGCGCGAAATTATTAAAACCGCCACCGCCCTTGCACTTGTACTTGTAGAGATGCTCGAGGGGGTGCTTTGTGGGGCGGTGCACAGCCAGGCCAGCAGTGAGGGGAGGCGCACCCTCACTCTCCTCGGTTGCAGAGCTCGTCGGAGGCTGCGGCACGACGGGAGGGTCGCGATAGCAGTCCTCGGGCGAGCCGACGCGCATGTCCAACCAGCGCTGGGACTCGTTGTGACGGCAGACGCCGGCTGCCTCTCCAACCGCTTCTGCAGCGTCCTTCTTTGCCCGTGCATGGGCTCGATCCGATTCCGCAGCGCGGCGGTGCTGCGCGGGAGACGGCCGCGCGCATTGACCATCAAGCCCGAAAGTTTTTCACAACGTGCCGTTACTCCGGCTCTCAGCGGGCAGCTCCCCGTTTGCCAAGCCCCGAATAAACCCCATCGCGACAGGCGCTTGCACCTGCTTTGCATCGCCGCGGCGGCGCGGCACGCATGATCTCGCAGTCCCCGCCGTGCGTCCCGCTCGTGCCCGGCGGCTTGGTCGCGCCGGCGGCCGCGGCGCGGCCGATGGCAGGGGAGGGCGGACTGCTGAGCTACGAACCGCTCGCGGCCAACATGCTACCGTCTGCGACTCCGGTGCTGCTGCCACAGGGCGACGCAGGCAACGGCGGCGCGTCGGGAGGCGGCGGCAGCCTGCACCGCAAGGCGTGGTCCGATCTCGAGGACAGCGTGGTCCGCCGTCTCGTGCAGCAACACGGCGCGCCTGCGCGCGGGAGTAGCGGGCAAAGGGCGCGTCAGCAGATGGTTTGGGGCGCGCGGGGCAGACATCTGCGCGTGCGCCATTGCAGCATGACTGAATGGCCATTCATTGGATGGGGAGCAGTGTAGACCAAGCTATGGCAGCCTGTCGTCCCGCCCCTGTGATGTAACATTAAACATACTTCCGGGCCGGTGTGCGGGGAGCCGGAACCTTAACGACCGCCCAGAAGCTTTGTTTCTGAGCGAACCAATCGGGCCAGGATCATCAGCATATGTCCCCTCCACAACATCGTGGGCGTTTGAGCGGTATTTGAGGAGCACCGCGACTCTGAAGTTCGGCCGGGTGGTCTGCAGACCCCCCCCCGCCCCCGGAGCAGCAGAGGCTCCGTGGGGTCGCAAAGTCGACGCTGGGAGTCGCACTCGTCAGGTCATCGCAGCACCACGCGGTCCTCACGTACCGCCCACATCCCCTCCACCGCTGAGAAGGCGCAGATCGACCGCCGGGCCGCGTAGTCGTCGTTAAGGAGCGGTTTTTGGAGCCGTACGAAGAGGTCCCAGACGGGCGAACATGCGGTTTTTCGACGACCACGCGCGATGTGGTATCTTCTTTTTGCTAAAAACGGGCCGCCTAGTGCAGCATCACTAGTACAACACGCAATCACACTGAGAGCTCCACACTAGCCGGTATAGGCGAGCCCCGGCGGCCTCACCGTCGCCGCTCGCGGCGGAGCCGACGGCGGAGCCACGGGCCGGTGCGACCTTTTGGGGGGACATGAGCTCGCCAGGACGTCGCCGATGGCTCGGCGCGCCTCTTCCCGCCAGCGCGGGACGGCCTGCAGACAGGGAAGAGGGGGAGGAAGACGGAACTGAGCACTAGGTTCGTGATCCCGTCGCCGGCGGCAAAGGCTGGGAGAGGGGCGGCAAGCGACGGGCGGGTGCGCGACCTTTTGAGCGCCCACGAGCTCGCCAGGACGTCGCCGATGGCTCGGCGCGCCTCTTCCCGCCAGCGCGGGACGCGGCCTGCAGACAGGGAGGAGGGGGAGGAAGACGGAACTGAGCACTAGGTTCGTGATCCCGTCGCCGGCAAAGGCTGGGAGAGGGGCGGCAAGCGACGGGCGGGTCCGCGACCTTTTGAGCGCCCACGAGCTCGCCGGGACGTCGCCGATGGCTCGGCGCGCCTCTTCCCGCCAGCGCGCGGGGCGGCCTGCAGACAGGGAAGAGGGGGAGGAAGAGCGACCACCGCCGCTTCCAGGCAGGCACAGAGACGCAGCACTTCGCGACACGCTGAGAAGCCGGAGGCTGGCCTCTCCAATGCTCGCGCAACGCTGTCTCGTCTGTGCGCGCGGCACGCGCGGCAGATCTCCGGGGTCCGGAACAGCGGGAGGGTCGACGACCGTACGACGGTAACGCTACGCACATCTCTTAACAATCACTTTATTCGCGCCTGTGCTGCGCCTCTGCGAGTGCGACATCTTGTCGTGTACAGCCTTGACCTCTCCGCCTCTTCGGCATCAGCGTGTTCGCACTGGCATCACACAAAAAAAAACGTCCGCAGCGAGGTGGGAGCCGCTTGCTTGGGGCTGGCTTCGCTGACTCTCCGGCTGACCGTTGCAAGGGCGGACCCTCCACCCGTGGACGCTGCGCTCATACACATGGCTCGCAAGCGATCCGCATCGCCAGCCAAGCCGAAGAAGGCGAAGGCGGCAAAGCCCGCCGCGAAGTCGGCAAAGGACATCTATCTCACCCTCCTCCAGCAGATCCCTGCCGCGCAGCGCGAGGTGCTGCAGCAAGCGCTCGGGAAAGGCGCCTCGCTGGGCATGGACGATGTGTTCGCGGCGCTGGGCGTTCTCCGGGTGGCTGGCGCCGTGTGGGCGCTCCTCGGCCCGCCGGCTCCTTTCCACGAGCTCAAGATCTTCAACACGGTCCTCGGGCTCGACTTGGAGGACGTGGAGCTGCAGCACGCGCTCGGGCGGGGCGGCCTCCTCTCCGAGGCGTGGGAGGGCCTCGCGCCCGCGAAGCGGCGGCGCTGCCTCGCCTTCGTGTCGGTGATGTACGCCTTCATCAACGAGGCGCAGCTCTCTCTCATCCTGTACGGAGAGCTGGGAGAGGCGACGCACGGCGGGCGGGCGCGGGTCGCCCTGCTGCAAGGCGACCTGGCGCAGGCCGCGGCGCTTCTCGAGGAGATGAACGGCACGGCAGGTTGCGTGGCGACCCCGACCGCAGGAGAGTAGAGGGCGCCGCCAAACGGCACTGAGCACGGCCTGTCTCCTCCGTAGCGCTGCGCCCGGACCCGAGCGCCGCGGTGATGCGTTCCGACCGCCTCACGCCCGGACCGTACCCGACGATGGGCGGCCCACGCCACCTAGATGCCGGATGCCGGATGCAGACTGCAGCCTCGCACCGGCTCGCACCGGCAGCTCGCCGCACTCGCCCGCCCTCGCAGTCTCGCGCTCCCGCTCTCGGCGCCGCACCGCGCCGTGTCCTCCGCCCTCAGCCCTTGGCACGGCCCCTGCGGCAGGCTCGTACCTCCGACAGCTCGCCGCGGGGACGGGCGAGCTGTCAGACACCGCCGCCGGGCTGCTCCGAGACCTGCTTGGCGCAAAGGCGGCGGCCAAGGTGACCTTCACCGACTCCGTCGGCATGCGCGCCGTCGAGCGGGCCGAGGGCGCGGGCGCGCGCGCGATGCGGTCTCCTCTGCCCATGCCGCAGGGGGGCAAGGGGACGGAGGCGATGGCAAGGGCGTTGGGCATGGACAAGCCGTCGCTGCTGCGCGCGCTGCGCGCGCACGACTGGGGCGCGTCGGCGGACCGGTTCCTTGACGGCTGGCCACTCGCCGACGGCGACCGGGCGCTGGTTCGGCGCCTGCTGGGCGCGCGGCACGAGCACCGCGACTTTCGCCAGAGCCGTCTGCTCGCCCCTGCCTTGAGCTGGCGCCCGCCCCGCCCCGCTGCCGCAGGCTGGCCGCGCGACACCGAGGTGGAGAATCTCGCCTGCGAGCTGAACCGGCACCGCTCCCTCTTCTCGGGACAGGGGCGCAAGTGGAACAACTCGACCAGGCACGCCTCGCCCTCCCGGTACGACCTCGCCGCCGCGCGGGCGTTGCTCGAGCGCGCGGCCGACCTCAACGAGCGGATGCGCGCGGCGGCGGGTGCGCGCAGCGAGGCGGCGTGATGCCGCGCCCCGCCGCTCGCAGCACATCTCTTAATCCATCATTAGTCTCAGTATTTATCTTCAGCGACATTCTGCACACATTCTCCCCGGCCGGACGCCGCCCTCGGGACAGATCCGCGGCAGCACACGCCTTCTGGGGGTTGCTACGAAGGTGGTGCAAGTGCAAGTGCAACCTGGAACTCGTGCCGAGTAGAGTTCTGTCGCGCAACGACTCACACTAGAAGATATAGACTAGAAGAGCGGTTCTTATCGTCGGAGGTCTGAGACAGCGCACCGCGGGGCGGGGGGGCCTTGTCCCCGTGGCGGACGGTGCGTGTGTGGCGGAGACCGGACTGGGACGCGCTCCGGAGTGCCCCCCCTTGGGCCGCGTGGCGCTGGCCCGAGACGGCAGACGCGGATACGCGCATGTATGACCGGCACCGCGGCTTGTTACCGACAGTAACAACCTCTTTGACGTACAAATGTCTACAGTAGACTCTCCCTTGCACAACCTTTCGGCGCTTGAAGAGGTGGCACCGAAAATGTCGCGGCCGGGGGATGGTGTGAGAGGTGAGATCGAGTGAGACTCGTTCACTGACGGAATCGCGAATATCTGAATGCGAGAGGCGGAAATGGGGAGGAGGAGGAGGCGAATCTGCACCTCACAGCGAGACTGAAAGCGAGGAGAGGCAAGGGTCGATCGTGGTCTGCGCGACTCTGGCGAGTCCGGCGCCGCCGCCGCCCAGCTGGGCGCCGTACGAGCTGGACTCGGCGGCTGCAGGGGAGGACGTGCGGCACTCGTGCCTCCGCGCGCCCTCGCGCAGCTCGCGCTCCCGCTCGAGCGACCCGGCGACGGCAAGCCTGCTTGAGGGGGGGGGGGGGGGGGAGAGGAGGCGTGCTGGGAGGAGGCGTGCTGGGAGGAGGCGTGCTGGGAGGAGGCGTGCTGGGAGGAGGCGTGCTGGGAGGAGGCGTGCTGGGAGGAGGCGTGCTGGGAGGAGGCGTGCTGGGAGGAGGCGTGCTGGGAGGAGGGGAGAGAGGAGGGGAGAGAGGAGGGGAGAGGCTGTGGGGCGGGGCGGGAGAGGGGAGAAGAGGAGAGGCGGGAGGCGGCGGTGAGGCGGGGCCGGAGAGGGCGCGGGAGGCGGCGCGGCGTCGAACCGAGACGCAGCCGCCTCCGCAGCCGGTCGATGCCGCGGCGCCAGAGGTGTGTGTGCTTGCGGGGAGTGGCGCGGGGAGGGCGCCTGGGGCGTCAGCCGGGCGCGGTGCCAGATGTTCTCGATAAAGTCGAGGACGGTGGAGACGCTGGGGACGGGGTACGAGGGCGGCGGCTTCGTCGGAGGCGGCAGCTTGCGGAGCATGTACATCGTCGGCATCGGCAGCGACTGCGGCAGCAGCGGCGGCCGCACCACCCGATAGCGGTCCTCTGCTGGCACCTCTGTGTGGGTGTCTTCGCAGAAGAGCGGGTGCGTGATGTTCTGCGGGCCGTCGTTGTCGCGGATCCGCCGGTAGAGCACGCTCGATACCGATCGCAGCAACGCCAGGTAGTCTGGCTCCACGCAGGTCGACTCCGTCTCCAGCTCCGGCGGCCGTCTCGCTCGCTGCGGGTGCCGCTGGTCCTTCGCTCCGACGTCTACAGGCGCTGCCGCCGGCTTCGCCGCCTCCATCCATGGCGGGAAAAGGGTGCTGCCGGGGCCTGCGTCGGGGGCTGGCGTCCGCGGCGGCATCGAGCAGCACTCGGGGCCGCGAGCTATCACAGGGCGCCGCGGTTTCTCTTTTTCGCGATTCTTTTCTTTTTGTGAGCCGTGTCCAGTCCGAGCCTGGCTGTTCTTCACCTTTCTACCTACCTACCTACCGGTGTGTGTGCCAGTCCGCGCCAGTCCGCGCCCTTGTCGTGCCAGTGTGCTGTGATTCGGCTCCTTTTGAGCTTGTTGTGTGTCTGTGTGACGCTCGCGCGTGTCGTCATCTTCTGTCCCGCGTCCACCCATACCGCGTTGGTGTCCAGTCCGAGCCTGACTGTTCTTCACCTTCCTTTGAGCACTTGAGCACTGGACCTAGGGTCGATTCCGCATGGTACGGGACCCCTCGATCGTCTCGCCCTCCCTCGCTGGTGTGTTCATTGGGGGGGGTCGTAACAAACACGGTACAGGATCGAGGTGCACGCTGCTGGAGCAGTGTCGTCCCCCCTCTCCCTTCGGTATTTTAACTGTCTTCTGATAACGAGCGTCATCTTGTAGTGAACAGAGGCCGAGTTTGCGGTTTGAGCGCCCAGCGCAGACCGACCGACCGCAGGGGGGGTCCGGTCGGCGGCCGCGGAAGACCGCAAACCGGAGGGGGGGCTCTCCACGCGCCGCCTGAGCGGCGGCGAGGCGATCGGGCGGCCAGCTGCGCTGCACGCCCTCCGACTCGAGCTCTCCACGCGCCGCCCGAGCGGCGGCGAGGCGATCGGGCGGCCAGCTGCGCTGCACACCCTCCGACTCGACTCCGGTCGGAGGGTCGGAGCGCAGAGACCGAGGGGGGGGTCGGTCGGGTTGGCTCGAGGGTCACACCGCACACGCTCGCCGCAACTGTGAATAAATTAGTATCTCGAAATACCAGAGAGACACCAAGCGCCCTCTCCCCGTCTAATCACTCCTCGTCGTCCGAGTGTGGCTGAGCTCGAGACCCAGACGCTCAGGAGCGGCCGCTCACTGCTCGGTACCCCCCCTGCACATCTAAAGCCATGGCCGACCCCCCCCCAGCAGCAGCGCTCTGCTGCTGGGGGGGTCGGGACCCCCCCCCCAGCAGCAGCGCTCTGCTGCTGGGGGGGTCCGGACCCCCCCCCCCAGCAGTAGCGCTCTGCCTGTGGGGGGTGCTGGCATCTCTGTACAGACAGCAGCTATAAGTAGCATGCGTTCCAGTGGCGAGAATTTATGGTCGGCACCAAAATCAGTGGTCTCACCGGCGGGCCCTCCTACTGCCAACCGGGAGGTGCGGGGCACGCCAGCCTCTCTTCTACGCCTCTCGTGCATCGCGGCGCCTCTGCCTCAAGGAGGGAAGATACGGCTCTCGCAGCCCATCATACGCCGTGGCACAGCGGGGAGCACAGCCTGTACAAGATATTGTTCCCTATATGCTCGTCGTTCGTGATATCCGCGCGAGGTCATACGCCACAGGCCAGCAATCACTCGGTGATGAGACTACTGATTTGGCGCGACGCTCTGACACCGAGTGTTGCTCGACGCTGCGACACCGCCAAGTACCGCGTGCAGCGCTCAACCTCGCGGAGTACACCTCTCGCTATCATCACGCTTCGCGGCGGTCGGGCTGCTTAATTTGTCGGAAGACACCCAGAGGGTGGGGCGGCGGCGAAGAGGCGGGAGAGCTGGGTCTCCGTGCGCTCTGCTGCTGGGGGGGTCGGGACCCCCCCCCCCCCCCAATCAGCAGCGCTCTGCTGCTGGGGGGGTCAGACCCCCCCCCCTAGGGCCTAGCAGCAGGGATGGCTTTAGATGTGCAGGGGGGGTACCGAGCAGTGAGCGGCCGCTCCAGGATTGGTCGGAACACGAGCTCGTCCATGTCCACGCTCCTGGTCGTCTCGTCCATGTTAGCTTCGCCGGCGACACACTGTACCCGTTGACGAGCGCTTGAGCGCGGCCAGAGCTTGTACAAAGCGACGGCAAGCAGGACCAGGCCTGCGACTGCGTAGATGCTCCACACATATGCTACCAGGTCACAGTATGGGTTCGGGACGTATTCACAGCAGTATGACGGGGTCCCCTACCCCTGGAGTGTGAGTGTGGCTTCTTTTCTTCTTTTCTTCTTTTCTTCTGAAAGAATTCCAGGGCATGATTTCTTCTTCGGTGTGACGGCGGAGTTGACGCCTCCGACGGTCGTAGCGGCGTGGCTGAGGGCGGCGGTGGAGGCGCCCGATAGCGCGGCGAGGATGGTCTCATGGGTCTAGCAAACCATAGACGACACCAAGAGAACGCGAGGTAAAACCCGACGGCTATGGATGGTAAAAGGCGGCGGTAAAACCCATCCACACGGGTTTCGGTGGGTTGGATGGGAGGTAGAATGTCTACCTACCGCACCCCCCCCAATGTCGCTGGGCGGGCCGCAGAGGCGGCATTGATCAGTTCCCCCAATGCACCGCGCGAGCTCGCGCGTTGGAGGCGTGGTCGACGCTGCGCTTGAGCTTCTCCTTGGGGACCCAGATCGCCAAGAAATCGGCGGGCATGAGGTCGTCGCGGAAGGCATGCCACGGCGGAGGAGTTGCAGCTCGTCGAGTGGCGTGACGTGGCGGACACGGGCGGTGCCGCCGTTGTCCTTGCGCACCAGATAGACGGAGCCGTCGGTGAGACCGACTCGAACTGCGGCGCGCGCGACGCGCTGTCAAGCAAAGGCGCGCGGGGCAGTGTGTGTCGTCTGTGTGGGAGGGCGTGGCAGTGCGCTCCTGCATGATAAAGGGAAGGTGCAACAGGCTGGTCGGCGTCGAGTGCGATGCGCTGAATGGCGGCGAGCTCCGCGCCGATCCCGGCGACCTGGAGCCGGTCCTCGCGAGCGGCGCCGTCGCCCTCCTCGACGTGCAGTGGATCATCAGCCACGCCGAGGCGGGCGGCGTCCTCACCCATCGCCAGGCGCTGCCCAAAGAGGCCTTCCTCTCCCTCGCCGACCTCGTTGGGGCGGTCGGAGAGCAGCGCATACTTCCCGTCGCCGCGCTCTCCTACCCGTGGCTGACCAAGGACCACCCCGACCCGCGCGGAGCCAACCTCGCCCGCGTCGCGAGGGCGCTCAAGGCCCTGCTCACTGACAATGACTGCAGGATCACGCGGCTCGGCGTCTTTTGGGACTTCGGCTCGCTGCACCAGCACCCCGACCCCGCCAACGGCATCATGCGCACCGAGGAGCAGAACGCGCTCTTCAAGCAGGGGCTGGGCTGCCTCGGCACGCTCTACTCCCACCCGGCGACGTTCGTGCTGCGGCTGACCTCCTTCCCGGACGGCCACAAGGCGGAGGACCAGGCC